ATTCTGAGGAAGGGTCTGATAGCAAACAGCCTGAAACCATGCAGATGTTGCCTGGAATGTGACCAAAACAAGTATGACGTCAAGGCCAGAAAATTGAATTACCCCAGGGAGGTTCTAGACACACACATCTGTCTTTGTCATTCTTCACTTTTTCTCTTCTAACCTGGCTCTGCTTGAAAGGTTTTCATCACCTAAAAATCTATGCACCAAGCAGCAATTGAAGGCGATTGTGAGATGAGAAGCTGAAACATTAATATTCATTCTATGTCAGGAAGTCTACTTGTTTGTGAGTTAACTTTAAGCCAGACAAGGAGGAAATATTTTTAGAAATTAAAATACAAACAAACTGAAACTGTTTCCTCACCAGAATGATGTGCTGAGTTATTAACTGGAGCCACCGGAGCCCCAGGATGTCTCAGAATTAGCATTGTTCCTGTTCCGTTTCTGCTTACCCCACAGCCGGAAGTGACACCAGCTGTGCACATATCAAAACAAGAACTCCTTTCTTCAATTTCCCCATTTTTATTTCACATACTTTTGTAGTTATCATTTAAAAGCAGTGAGAGTAACTTGGTCACTAATCTGCAAAATCAATAATCCAATGTCTGCTGTCAGAGAAGCAGCCTTTCTCACACACAATCGGCTTTTCTGACTCTTTAGAATGAAGTTAGATCCAGCAACAAAAGTTGTCAAAAGAGAAAAAAATGGTTCAGATCTCTTAAAAACATGAGCACAAGCCCTGCCCATGATGAATTAGATCAGAATCTCCAAAGATGGATCCCTGACTGATTTTTCATGAGCTCCCAGGTGGTTCAAATGTACTGACAGAGTTGGGAGCAGTTATTTTTGGTTGAGAGGTTCTTCACTGGCAAACGAACACACTGTATTCCTTGCAACAGGGAAAATGACATGACTTATTTTTCACGTAGATAAAAAGTACAGAGGTATAGAGCACTTGTCTAGGAATGCACATTTAGACTTAGACTTAAATACAGAGAATTCCATCAAAGTTTCTGTAAAACATTGTATGGATTCTTACACCTCTAACAGAAAAAAACAAAGATTAAAGTCATTGGTCTAAGAAGCAAAGAAGAAAAATTAATTTCAGTTGAAAAACAGTTTTTAAAGGCCAGCTTATTTCCTCAGTTTGCTTAGATACTTTATTCTAGGAAGACCCAATGTTGTGTTTAGGTTTGTAACATAAATAGGAGCAAATAACATTCTGACTTATCTCCAGGATCTACTTAATATACTCAGATTTACTTATATATGTTTTCCCTTTAATTGAGTACTTAGGGTCCACATACTGTTGACCTTTTACAACAATAATTAAGAAATAAGCTTTAATAATGATGCTTTATGAAATCCTTTAGAGCTGATGGTAATTACTCATTTTTACCAGTAGTGGCTTAAGAGCTACAAAATAAAATCTATGTACTAGATTTTTTTTTTAAATACAGAATACTTATAAGAATTCAATAGTGTTTCCTAATGATGAGAAAGATGGGAGATTGGTATTACCAAATCCCTACTGTGTGTCTGACATCTTCTTAGAGGACGGTCTCAAACACTGTACAGATTGGATTCCAACAGTCTATGTATGGTCAGTAGGCCAGATTGTGTGACTGCAGCAAGGTTTCATCAACAGTCACTCATTTTCTCTCTATTTGTTTTGTTTGTTTGTTTGTTTACATGAAAGACATTTAGCAATTGCACTGGAGACCATAAGACCTGAAAATGTCTCCATCTGACCCTTTACAGAAAGAGGTTGCCACCCACTACAGTATATTTAGTATCATCACTTTAGATAAGGGAAACAGATTCATCTCAAAAGCAGCAGTTTTGATTCAAAAGTTACTATGAATTAGAGCACACAAATGGAGGCTAGTGATTCATAAATTTTGCAAATAACTTGAAAGTTTTTTCTGTAGTTTTTGAACAATAGGAATTTTCCTTTGCATTCAGATATCACTTGATCACTTTTTTCATGAAATCAAATGCAAAAATAAAGATGTTAATTATAAGATTTCTACAATTGTATTATACCTGACAGTTGGAAGGTAGCATTCATTAATTTAGTCATGAAGATGCCTTAGTCCTTGAAATATGAATTTACTCATCAGCTCGAAAATTCTACAGCATACTTCCCTGAGCTTTCATTGTAGTTTATGTCGATGAGAAGGACAACTCCCTTCTCGATTCTGATGCTCCTGTCCATGTGGACAGAATTGAAGCGATGCAGGCCACTATCCCCTACCACCTTTGAGCATGTTCCTTCTTTATCAGGTTAGTGAGGAACAAAGGCAGGAGACCAGCCCTCTCCTCTCCGCCTTTCTTCCTCTACCATCTACTGTTCTCCTTCTCCATACTACAAGATTCAGGGTCTGCAGGACTGGATGGGTACAGCTGTTTGGTTCTGGGCCCAACACTGGGACACTAAAGTATCTACAGATATAGGTTGTATTCACCAATGTCAGAAATGAAGCTTGCATTTTATTCTATATGTTTTACTTATCTATTAATTTTGTTCAATCCTCAAGTCAAGTACAGGGAGACATTAATTAGTTGTCCTAAAGCACCTCAATATTACATTCATTGTTCAGGAGCTTTGAAAATTTGAATAATTCAGGGCAAAGTCTTTGAGGAACAAAGATGTAATTTGGGGCCTTGGATTTGAATGTGAGTTTAAGAGATGTTGGCCTTGGTGGTTTATAAAGCCTTCTAGCTTTAGAATTAGTTTCCTGTACCTATCCAACTGGTTTAAACTATACCCATGCATGTGGCAGCATTAGGCTTAGGTACAGACTGTAGAACCTTGCCCATTACAGAAACTGTACATTATTGACTGCTTTTTGGAGAGGAAGATCAGTAATAACCATGACAAAAAATGGAGTATAGATCTTAGGAAAGGCTCAGATCTTAGGATTCAGGCATGGGCTAACCATAAAACTAGCCTGGAAACAGGTTATTGTTATCCCTTAGCCTTGAATTTTTGCCCTTATGTTACCAATAACCCAGAATAAGACTAGATTCTGGTATTAGGAGAAAGAATTCAAGACATTGCCTCTAACTGTGAGACATTAGCTTTCTTGTGTGTCAGAGTTAGTCTAGTTGAGAGGCTGGTAAACTTCCATTGTGAAGGTACATATAATTATTAGTTAAGGCTTCATGGCTCAGCTGGTGCACTTTGAAGATATTGAACTCTACTGTTGCACTGTGAGCAGTCATGAACCACACATACATGGTTGTGTTTCAGTAACATTTTACAAAAGCCAGTGTAGACTTTTGTTCCAACGGATGCTAGACAGCACTGAATTTATTGTTCTTGGTTTCATTTTGTTTTTATTTCCCAAAGGGTGCTTCTAGAGCCAATGAGGTTTACACACACTCAAGAGTTAAGGCCTCATGCAGGGGTTTTAAGTTGACTTAGATTGTCTGGTTACATATTATCTCGTCTATTTTCTGCTGCTCTTACAAAATCCCTGTGAAAGATGGATGGATTTACTTAGAACACAGTTCACAGGTAGTCCTGTAAAACTGGGCATTACACCCAGAGATGATCTCGTGTTATCTCTAAAGATGAAGAAAGCATAATTGGCAGCTGGATATGTTTGGAAGAGACAAACATTCTGATGATAAGTCTTGCTTTGTAACAACCCATTTTTGTAAGAACAAACTCCTATTAAGAAAGGCATTAATCATAATTAAAGACCTCCCCATCTTTTAAGGCAATGCTGATCAAACTTCAACATGAGTTTTAAGGAAACCAAGTCATATTCAAACATTATGTATATCCCTCGAGACAGGGTTTTAAATCAGAAGCATTTCTGTAAGATGTAGTAGAAACAGCCATTGTGGTTCCAGTCTGGAAATGCCTGCTTCTTACAGAACGAATCTCACATCCTACCTGAAGGCAGGTTATCAGAATCAAAGACCCAAAAGAAAAATGAAGCCATGAGATTTTCAATGGAAAGAATGGAAAAGAAACACTTCACTAAGCCTGGCCACCAATAACCACATAATTTTTAAGCTTGCAAGCCCAGCCATGGCTGATATGCTATTCTCCAGAAACAAAGAATGTATAGTTGAGTTTACAATAAAAATGCAATGAATGGTAGAGTCAAAATGATGTTTTGTTGAGAATCATCTCCCAAAGTTCAATTCAGTACTAGTCTTTGGGTCACTGGCTTTGAATCACTTTCAACTTGGCAGTACAATCATCTGTCTGCTGTCACTCTAATGCAGGAACATTCAGGAATATTTACTAAGAACTTTGGCCGTGCTACAGATGGGTTTTCTTTCATTTCTGAGACTATATCCTTGTCTGAAATAACTGATCTGAAGGCCTAGATTTCTTGTTTTCTTTTTTTGTTTTTAAAATTGTGTGTGTGTGTGTGTGTGTGTGAGAGAGAGAGAGAGAGAGAGAGAGAGAGAGAGAGAGAGAGAGAGAGAGAGAGAGAGAGACACCTTGGAGGTCAGAAAAAGGTAATGGATTCCCTGGAACTAGAGTTACAGGAGGTTGTGAGACTATGTGGGTGCTGGGAACTGAACTTAAGTCCTCTTCAAGAGGAGTAAATGCTCTTAACCACTGACCCATCTCTTCAGTTCCTGTCTTATTCCTTAAATTTAGTGGATGGGTAGTGCTTGTTTGAGGACTTTTAAGAAAGGTCACTTGGCTTGAGGTGGACTTGGCTGTAGCTTTCACAAGGTTCACAGCACAGCCTAGCATCAGAAGTATCCACTTAGGACCAAGCAGCAGAGAAAGATGAAGAAGTTGAAGTTTGGAATTTAGTTTCTGTGATTATAAACTTGAATTATTTGTGTCATGCTCGGTGCTGTTAACCTGACAGAACACAGAAGCACCAGGAAGAAGGCCCTCTGGCACAATTGTGGAGGATTATAGTAATTACATTGTTACTTGAGATGAGACGATCCCATGACCCCTTGTTGTGAGTGGTACTATTCCCTAACTGAATTGTAGACCCCTCTTCTCTCTGCAGGTGTTGTTGCTGTGGGAACCAGATCCTAGACTCCATAAATGGAGATATGGAAGTAAGCAACTGTACATATTCATCATTCTGCTTCAAGTTGCAGTTTTGCCTTCCGCATCATGCTGGATTTGAATTGTGAGCTAAAATGAACCCTTTTTCCCTTAAGTTCCTTTTTTCAGAGTATTTTATCAAAGCAACAAGAAGCAAACAAACAAAAAAGCCTTGAATTTGCATTCTGTGTCAATAATGGATTTAAGTTGTTAATGGATTTTAATTTTTGTACTTTCATTTTCCTGTCAACTTGATGATGACACAGATCTCACTTATATTCGTGTGTGTGTGTACTCTATTCCAATCATCTTATTGTTGGACTATATGATAAGCTTCATCATTGTCCCAACTAGTCCCCTCATGGGTTGAAAATGGGAGTATTCCAGAGGCACTCCATTTCCAATACCTTTTTCTTCACACAAACAATACACCTATTTTATAACTCTCCTGGCTTCTCCAAATTAACTTGACCTGTAGGTCTTAGAAGAAAACTGAACAACTCAAGTTACAAGTTCAATTTCCTTCTTTTCTCTTGGGTGTACACTGCCTGCGTATATTCTGCTCAGCAACTTATAATGTAAGCATTAGGGTCAATATTCACCTTATGTTAAGGTTGCTCCAGTTCTGTGCTACCCCAGCCTCAGGGACACGATTTTGGAAGCATAATCATAAGATGGAAGCTGTACACCAACCCCTTGCTGTTAAAACAATATGAGAGTGTGAAAGGCTATGATCTTGTGTTAACTTTTCTATAGAACTGAAAAGCAGCTGGATGTGGGAACTTGTCATAAGAAAGAAATGTTGTGTTTTCCTTAGATCTAATAACAAAAAATTAATGTGTGATGAAAACTTTAGTACTGCAAACAGAAAAGAAGAAAGGGGTCAGGATATGATTTGGGATCATGAACACAGTGATAGTGAAACCTCCAGGGCAGGGTGAAAATAGTTTTTCAAAGAGAACTGTTGAGAATACCCACAGAACTGTCCACAGGCCAGGAAGGGGAAGAAAAAAGCATCAGCAAAGCAGTGCTAGAATGTATCACAACAACTAAGATGGTAATGTCTCAAAGAAAGTTTCCAGGGGCTCTGAAGTGTTAGATGCCATTGGGTCACCAGAGAAAAAGAATTGAAAGCATTGGATTCAGCAGGTATGCAATGATTGCCTAAGAGAGTTGTCTTTTTTTTTTTTTAAGAAATGCCATCTCACTCATTTTCTCATAGAACTCAGGACAGTCCCCTAAAGTGCCTGGGAACTTAGCCAGCTCTTCTGCCTCCATCAAACTTCAGAGCAACAGCTGTCATAGCGCTGCAGAACTTTCCATGTCAGTTGCACTCACTACACATTTCTAGAATCTAGAGCTCAATGAAGTCTTTCCCACAGCTGTACAATGCAGACATACAAAGTGAAAACCTCAGAACAGATGTCAGCAATCAGTGTACAATACCGATAAAAAAAAAAAAGCCCCTGAATTTTATGTTATCTAGAAGCATCTGCTTCACCTATGCAACTTTTTCAGTTAACATTTGTAGTAGTCAGGCATCTGTATACTGTAACAAAACACCTAAGGCAATCAACTTAAAGGTGGAAACATTATTTGGGTTCATAGTTACAGAGTTTCAGTCAGTCAATGGTTGCTTGGATCCATTGTCTCTGAGCTATAGTAAAACAGAATGTCAAAACAAAAATAAACTGTGAAATAAAGCTGCTCTCCTCATGGTGGCCAGGAAACATTCATTCAATAATTGAATGGCTGGTGATAAACATTTCCTTTAAGGTCAGGCTCCTACTTTTTCCATGGAGTAGGTTTCACTTTCTGTTATTTTTTACCACTGAGAAATAGCCTACGAAATGATGAATCCATCAATAGATTAATCCTCTGATTATGTCAGAACTGAACTTATTCAATCATGGCCAAGTGGTTCCACGTGTACACACTGCTGCATTGGAGACCATTGTGTTGCTAAAGTTTTCCTGCCTGGCCCACAGTCAGGACAAATCTCTCTCACCCGCCAGTCCCAAGCCGCTCAAACCCGACCAAGTAAACACAGAGACTTATATTGGTTACAAACTGTATGGCCGTGGCAGGCTTCTTGCTAACTGTTCTTACAGCTTAAATTAATCCATTTCTATTAATCTATACCTTGCCACGTGGCTTGTGGCTTACCGGTACTTTACATCTTCCTTGTCCTGATGGCGGCTGGCAGTGTCTCTTGACTCAGCCTTTCACTTCCCAGCTCTATTCTCCTCCTTGTCCCGCCTATACTTCCTGCCTGGCCACGGGCCAATCAGTGATTTATTTATTGACCAATCAGCAACACATTTGACATACAGACCATCCCACAAGTTTTTGAGGGGCTTCTCAGATGCAAGCTATAGCAGTGTTCCAGGAGCCCTTTGAGTAATATCATTTTAGCCCTGGATATGCTGTTACTATCCACAAGGCAACTTTCTCCTAAGTCTGGCAAGGAGAAAATACTCTTGAACACTGGTCTCCTCTTTCCCAAGGGTTCAGTTGTGGCCATTTTTATGAGTATGTCCAGATCACGCCTACTGTGGCAATGGTATCTATCCCCTTGCATCTCAGAAGTGTCTTCTTTGGATGATAAACCATGCCATTTCACTACTGTCTCTCGTGTCTCCTATATTATGTTTTAATGCAAGATATATTTATCTCAGTGTTCTGAGAAATACAATTGGCATTGTGGATAAGTCCAGTGACAATAAAATAAATAATAAATATTAAACTCTATGTGTACTCATTGGGCTTTGAAGCTGAGTTAAAATCACTTTTCAAAATAAATGTAAAAATGATGGTAATTAAGAAATAAAAGATGTGGTAATGAGAGGATCGTGTGGAAACAAGCAAAAAGAATATAAATGCAATGAAAGATAATCCTTATTATAGATGTCTTATGAAAAAATGCAACCATTTGGGGCTGGAGACATGGCTGAGAGGTTGTTTTTGCTGCTCTTACAGAGGACCTTGTTTGACTCCCAGCACCCACATCCAGAGACTTACAAGTACCTGTAACTCCAGTTCCAGAGAATCTGACACCCTCTTCTAGCATGTTTTACATACAGACATGCAAATACACACACACACACACACACACACACACACACACACACACACACACACACACACACACAAACATACATGCATGCACTCACACAAATGAAAACAAATATAAATGCCTTTTTAAAAATGCGATCATTTATGATAGACAACAAAGCATCAACTTTGTCATGCCCTTTCAAATTCAAAAGCAGTGTGTGACCATTGCTAATGGGTCTTAGCTGGTCTCCTAGTTTGTAGCTGTAGCATTCAACTCAACCTCTTTTCCAAAATCCCTTCTTCTGAATGCCAATGTGAGCACCTCTTTATTTACCATATCCAGTTGACGCGTTGCTTGTAAGGCAACAGCAAGGTCTCTATGCTTTCTTTGCCTATTCAAGTTTAGCTTTTCTGGCACACATATCACTCTGCTCATCATCGTGATTACTGTTCCTACTGACCAAAGTCGCCCGGACGGTAGAAGCCAGTTAGTTATCTAACTGACTGAAATGGAATGTTTTCAGAAGGAAGCCTCCTAGCCACCAGTCCATTCTTACAGGTCTGATTCTCTGAGAAAAGGGCCCAGGAATCAGTGCTTTAGAAATTCTTTACGTTGGTTCTCATGTGCAGAGTCTGCACCCTGCACTGAGTGCTGGAACTCTGCTCTGTTAGCATTTTTTTATGTGCCTCTCCAGGTCAGGTATGTTGCTCCATGTAACTCCATGCCGCTAAGTGCAGCAGCCAGGCTTAGATTCTCAACTCCTTACCCTGCATATGGCCTTTGACACAGTTCACATAGTCCACCCCTCCCTCCCTCCTCCAATCTTCCCTTCCATTTCTCCCTTTCTTCTTCTCTCCCTTCTTTTCTTCTTTCCTCCCTTTCCTTGGTTTCAGCGCCTGCTAAGTCACAGATAATTCTTTCTCCCTCCTCCCCATTGCTCATTTCTCTGTTTTTTTTTTTCAGACATCCAGCTCTGAAGCAGATCTAAGGCATGGCCTTTGGTTGGCTCGTCCTTTGCTTTGAACCTTACTGCTGTGGATATCTGTATGCTGAGAATGTGTTGCTCTGATTGGTTAATAAATAAAGTGTTGATTGGCCAGTAGCCAGACAGGAAGTATAGGTGGGACAAGCAGAGAAGAGAATTCTGGGAAGAGGAAGGCTGAGGGGAGACGACAGCCTGCCGTCCAGGGAGCAGCATGTAAAGGCAACAGGTAAAGCCACAGAACAAATGGCTACATAAAGATTAACAAAAAGGGGCTGAGTTTAAGTGTAAGAGCTAGTCAGTGGTAGGCCTGACTTGATGGTCGAGCATTTAATTATTATAAGCTTCGACGTGATTATTTTATAAGCGGATGTGGGGTCCATGGGGCTGGGCAGGATTGAAAAAAACTTCAGCTATACCTTACTCTCTACATTATTTCACTTGATGGCCCAGCTTTAAATACTGTCTATACTGGCAAGTTTTTGAATTTTTTTCTTTTTATAAATTTGTGATGTAAATTTGGGAAGCATAGAGGCAGTGCAGAAAGTGTAAACACAAATCAACAAGACAAAAATACTACAGAGAAACACACCTGTGTTTCACACTTACAGAACTGTATTTGTGTTACTGATTCCCCTGACAAATGATCCATCCCTTCCGTGCACTTGCACTGATGCCTGAACTCATGCCAGTATTATCAAGGAAAGTCACCAGTTTGGATCCAAGAGGACTCGTGACTGCCAACAAAAAGTGAGAAAATTAGTTTGGCTGATGTAGATAGAGCTATCCATTGAATATTTTAAAAGAATATTACAAAAGGGAAATTCCAGGTTTCCCATAACATTCTTTGATGATTTTGATTTTGAGTCTCTTTTATGCTCCTCAACATGAATGCATCAGCATGTTCAGTTTTCATGAGTGAGGAGTCTGAGTTGAGCAGAAGAGTAGTAATCTACCCATGGGCATGAATGACCAACTAACACAATGAGAAACTGGCACCCCTACCATCAAACAACCCTAAGACGTTTAGGTAATACTTTCAAACCAAAAGGGAAATAGTGGTCCCAACTACTTTTTATTTTGTCAACACTGCTGTTACTTTTCTACCAGACAATTTCAGTTCTGTGGCTACCCACAGAAATTCAGTACGCTCTCAGAAGATTCTTAAAGACATGAACACTTTTATTGGATTTTGTTTTTTTAAAAAAAACAAACAAAAAAATTCAGACTTATGGTTAGTCTTAACCTCAATAAAACTACATGTGAGGAATCTGAGGTGAGTTTCACTCCAAAAAGAAGGACCAGAACATTACATAAAAGGAGACCATGGTAAATGAAGACCACATAAGAATAGGAAGAAGCAAAGTGCTAGAGAGGCCCACAGAAATCCACAAAGATACCCCCACAACAGACTGCTGGCAATGGTTGAGATACATCCAGAACTGACCTACTCTGGTGATGGGATGGCCAAACACCCTAACTGTCGTGCTAGAAACCCCATCCAACTACTGAGGGATCTGGATGCAGAGATCCATGGCTAGGCCCTGGGTGGAGCTCTGGGAGTCCAATTAGCGAGAATGAGGAGGGTTTATATGAGCGAGAATTGTTGAGACCAAGGTTGGATAAAGCACAGGGACAAATAACCAAACGAATGGAAACACATGAACTATGAACCAATGGCTGAGGGGTCACCAACTGAATCATGCCCTCTGAATGGGTGAGACAGTTGATTGGCTTGATCTGTTTGGGAGGCACCCAGTCAGTGAGACCGGGTCCTGTGTTCATTGCATGAGTTGGCTGTTTGAAACCTGGGACCTATGCAGGATCGCTTGGCTCAGCCTGGGAGGAGGGGACTGGACCTGACTGGACTGAGTCTACCAGGTTGATCTCAGTCCTAGGGGGAGGCTTTGCCCTGGAGGAGGTGGGAATGGGGGGTGGGCTGGGGGATGGTGAGGGGGGCGGGAGGGGGGAGAACAAGGGAATCCGTGGCTGATATGTAGAACTGAATTGTATTGCAAAATTAAAAAAAAAAGTGAACCAACACTACTATGGATAAAGGACAGGGTTTTGCACTTACTGCATTTATTTGTATTGTGATGAAATTCCTTTTGCTCCTTTCACATCTGGGACAAGGTTCTGCCAGCTTGCTGAGGAATTTTACTCCAGACTTGCATGTAACAGGAGTTCAGCTTTCTTTGTTTTACCCCTTGGCTGGATCAGACTTACACTGACTCTGAGTTTGAATTGGAATTATACTGGATAGTTGGCACAACACCAGCAGCTCTACAAGTCAGTGATATCATTACAAAGGAAAGTATGAACAGATTTACTTAATGCTTTTGTAAGACAGAGGAAATACAAAGACAAAGAAAGGTCTGCAGTAAAGAGATCAACAGAGGACCCAAGTTAGATTCTGTAATAAAGCATTGTTCATAGTATCTTAGAAGCCAGGAAGTTGTTAACCAAAATTCTCTTGGTTATTCTATGTTCTTTTCTGAAGGAAGAAAGTATATGTACTTCAAGATAAAGACTGTGGAATAACTCAAATCCATAGCAGATGCTGTATGTGCATGTCACTTTAGCTGTGGCTTTTCAGGCCTGTTGGCACTCCTTCTGAAGTTTCACTGGAGGGCTGCAGAGAGACATTTCACAGCTCAGGGAGGCTGGGTTGCTAGCTGCACACAGCATGTGTTCTGAAACAACCTGAGGAGATATGCAGTGACTGCCAACGACCCAGAGCTGGCAGGACTCTCACAGTCCCTGAGCCAACTTTGTTTAAGGCCATTCTATCTGAGAGCCTCTGTCTAACAGAGTTTTGCTATGTTCATTTACATGAATTCTCTCCTAATAGAAGCATGGAGACTGAGCCAAATAGTACAGAGCATAAGGTCTTGCTCTGCAGTTCCACATGCATGTTAGACATATGTTGACTTTAATGGCTTGATTAAATGAAGTAACAAAATTATAAAAGAAAAGGATATAAAGAGCAACAAATGTAAAATGTAAAGTTCATATGGCAGAACACTTAGTTCATTTTAGATATTCTCTGAATGATAATTCAAATTGGGAACCTTTTGATCGAGATAAAAGGCTGGGCTGCAGTTAACTGTCACCTATAATTATTGACTAAAAGCTGGGCTTAAGCTCATCACTTAGAGCATCATAGCCTTCAGGACTCATTGAATGCTGTGTTTTGAGAAAAGCATGTCACTCTGGTTGCTAGTTAAATTAGGGAGAATGACTATAAGCTTTCAAATCTTTGTTGGAATATTAGATAATCAAATTATTTTAGTTTCCTTTGTAAAGTGGGAATCGTGCTACAATCCTTCATTGGTTGTTTTGTTACATGTCTGACACATGGTGATCTAGTTTTATTTTGTTGCTGTGATAAAACACTCTGACAAAAAGCAACTTAGGGCAAGAGAGGGTTTATTTCATCTTAAACGTCCAGGTTACAGTCCATCATTGCCTGAAGTCTGAGTAGGAACTCACAGCAGAGACCTGAATGTAGGAGCCGTTGAAGAACCCTGTTTTCTGGGTCACTCTCTGACCGGCTCTCTGCTCACACTCTGGACCAAGTTTAGCTAGTTTTCCTATACAGCTCAGGAGCACCTGCCTAGGGATAGTGCTGCCTATAGTAGGCAAGGCCCTCCTGCAATAATTAATAATCAGTACAATCCCCCACAAACATGTTCTCAGACCAAAGTGACCTAGGCAATTCCTCAATCAAGGTTTTCCTCTCAGAGGACTCTAGGCTATGTCAGGTTGACAAAGTTGACTAGGACACAGTATGTTTCTCAATCATATTATCTTGTGTTTAGATAAAAAGTGTTTTAAAAAAATCAAGAAAGTGTTATATGAGGGTCACTCTTAACAGCAACTATTATCAAGCATTCTTTGCACCAGTTAGGATGATAGAGGTTATATTTCAGTAACCAGCAACCCCCAGCTTGCAGTTGTTTGAAACTATAAAGAATTCTTTCCACCGTATGCCTGGGTCAGAGGAACTTTCCTCATTGTTCTGTCCACCGTAGTCACTTACTAAAGCCACACTGAAGGCAAATCCTGCTCTACACATGTGCCCACTGTTATTGGTGTTGCAGAAGGATTCTTTGGAGGATCTGGCATCAGCAAGTAACTGCTGGGGTTTGGAACTTTGCCACTGGCTTAAGCCTGTCAAGAGCCCCACCACAGCGTTAAGAGAGTGTTGAACCCTCATATGGTTGAAGTAGAGGGGAGTGGGATATTGGTGAACACTTAAAAGTTAATGAGATTTCAGTTCCTTATGTTAAGAGCTCTTCCTATTGATGTTTACACAATAAACATCAGCAATAAACACAAGCAAAATCAGAATCGTTTGGGGAAAGAAAAAAGAGGAATATTTCCTTCCCAAAACCAAAGGATAAAATTCTATGTAAGTAAGAAAGGCAGAAAGGTACCAGTAAAGAGCGTTTATTCATTTCTTTATAATCCCACCACTTGCAAAAAGCAATCTTACTTTAGCTCTGAGCTCTTATTACTCACCAAAAGTGTTGAAAAATTATTTTACAATATTCTTTGATAATGATCTTACATAAATCAAAATGTAAATGACTGTTCAAAATTTTACCCAAGAAATAGTTTTGTCTTCCTTATCAGCAGATAATATAAATTAGCTATTAATTTTAATTTTATATTACAAAACATTTCTCCATGAAGACTGAACTATCACAGATTAGTTCCATTCTTCTTCATGACCTGAAGACTCTATGGAAATATTCCCTTCAATGAGCGTTGTTGTCCTTGTGGCCAGTGATAACTTGTTTCACAAGCACAGACCATTTGTTCATGGAATCTGATCCATAGCATACCACTAAAATGGCAAGGGTTTGGAAAACGAGAAAAACTTAAAATAGGAGATAATTTATGCAATTTACATATACTTTGTGCACCTAATGCTCATTATTAATCCACAAAATAGCAAAAAGCCTTCACCAAGTTCTCCTCAGGATTGTTCTTCTAGGGCTGCTCACCTCTGTGTGAAACAATGGCTGGAGAAACTTCCAGACTTTTCTTTTACTGTTACCAACTACAGAAATCCGAACAGTCTCACTATGTTTTTCCCTCTGATTCAATCTTCAGAATCATTTTGCAAAACTGACATTTAAAAGAATCTGAAACAATCTCAGCTCAAGACCAACTCCTTCCCTTCCATTAATTCGTGATTATTATAGTTAAGAGCTCAGACTGGGAGTTTCACATTGCCCACGCTTCTCCTCAACACTGAAGTCATTAAGCAGGGGTAGCAAACCCCTGCTGACAGACAGAATATACTCCCTCCATTTTCTTGTTCAGCAATCACAACTTGGCAGGCTATACATGAAAAAGCATTTTAGAAACTGATTTTTGAAATTGCCTTTTATGCATATTTTAAAATCACATGTGAAAGGAGCCATGGCCTGCCAAGTAATTACCACTCTTCATGAAGGAAAGTCTCCATTCCTTGCAGCATATCCGGCAGGAACAACAGAGGTGGTAGTTGGCAGCCACTATAGTAGCAGCTTGGGTGACTTCTAGTTCCTTGTACCCGACCCACTTGAGTCTGTCAGGCCACTAGATATTGTTCCAAAGGCCTTTGGCTACTTGAAATTAGATACAATTTTTTAAAATAATGGCATTAACACTTTTTAACATAGATTCTTTGGTAATTTACATTGGTGAATGCAATGTATTTAGTTTACACTTACTGTTGCTTGTTTTTACTCTTTTGGGGGGCCTGCCACCTAGCTCCCAAATAAATCATCATGGAGGCTTATTCTTATTTATAATGCCTGGCTTTAGCTTGGCTTAGTTTCTAGCCAGCTTTTCTTAAATTAACCTATCTATCTTTTGCCTCTGGGCTTTTCCTGTTCTCTTACTTCTGTAAATCTTACTCTTACTCCGTGGCTTGCTTTGTAGCTGGGTAACTGGCCCCTGATGTCCTCCTCCTTCTCTGGCTCCTAGATCTCCGCTCTCTGATTTCTCCTTCTATATATTCTCTCTGCCTGCCAGCCCTGCCTATCCTTTCTCCTGCCTTGCCATTGGCCATTCAGTTCTTTATTAGACCATCAGGTATTTTAGACAAGCACAGTAACACAGCTTCACAGAGTTAAACTAATGTAACATAAACAAAAAACATACCTTAAAATAATATTCTACTACAATCTATCTTCCATTTTTTCCCTCTCACTCCTTCTAGACAGTACCCCAGCTTCATAGCTTCCTCCTTTTCTTTTCTATAACTCACTGAGTACAATTAGTGCTGCCTATATGCATATGGATTTAGGACTATCAGCTAGTGAATGGGCAATCCACCATTAGTCATTTCTAATTTTTATATACACCTTTACTTCTTCTGAGATAGCTTGTAACTAAGCTTATTTGCTAACCAGAAATGAGATCTACAGTATTTCACAGCAGTACCCATGCTTGTTGCTCACCATGTGATCATCATGAGTCTGCAGGTTTCTCATCAGGGATATCCTTGCTTCTTGAGGGTGCTTCTAATTCTATTTGTCTATCCCATTCAATTCACCCTACATACAGTGCAGAAAATACTGTACTGGAAACACTTCCCCTTTAGAATAAATGGACACATGAGAGATTCTGGGGCTACATAAGGCAGGAAGGCCTGGCTGTCATCTTCAAAATGTATAGATTAATGAAATCATCTAGCCTCATAGGATCTGCCTAAAGTTCTGTTCCTCCAACTCTGTTTACCCCTAAGACTTGAAACGTACCCACAGACCTCTCTCTAACTTAGCTCGGTGACCATTTTCAATGTTAGGGAGACGCATTCCACCCATCATGGAAGCACCAGACAGTTGCTGAGGGACCATACAAGTCAGCCCTCCTCCTCATTCAGGGCTTAGCTCACAGGCCTTTCCTAACAGGTATTTCCCCTGAGCCCTTACCTCGTGTTGTCAAACAGATGCTCCCTGGGTCCTTGTACTGTTTATTGTACTAGAGCTTCACCTTGACAACTCTGTTCCTAATCCCCATCTTTGTGTCCACCTTCTATCAGGAAGCACTGAAGTTGAATGTCTTTCCTAGGGCTACCTACCTGGCTGGAAGAGCTCGGTTGCTCATAGACCCCTGCTTGTCACTCAGCCTGCTGCCAGGTTGTTATGAATACAGAACACCCTCGTGTCCTCCCTGACTGACAGCAGCACGGATAGTCCCTACTGCCTGTTGAAAACTTTTTGTTCTTAAAACTTCACTTACTTAAATAAAAGTTTTCATGGTACCTACAGCTGATGTCCCCCTAAATGTCTAACTTCAGACCTTGTCACCTTATATTTTCTCTATTTGCTGTGCTCTTCTTCAGGGCTGAGCCTACAAAATCCAGCAGATACTAAGCTTTTGGCATCTAATTTGAGCTTTGTGGAAAAAAAGAAAAGAAAGCTTATATTGCTATTTGTTAACACTGTTAAAGAAACACAAAACAAACATTTATTCTGTGAGATGTTTTCTAAGAGTTGGGAGCCTGGGACTAACTCCTTGGTCTGTTCTGACTTACTCTTCCCAGGGCATCACAATTTAGTTGATAGTTTTACAAAAGGCTTGAAGGATCTAATTCCCAGCAGGTTCCTTTACATAGCTGCTGTCTTGGGCTCTCTGTCCCCTCCATACAGAGAACCCCACAGACTTGACAATATAGCAGCTGGCTTCCATTTGAATAATCCATCCAAAAGAGGGAGCAGGATGATGTAAGAAATCCAGGTCCTGATATCTTCTAACTGCAGACATCCCAGCCAACACTTCTGCTATATTCCATTGGTCACACGAGCCACCATGACACAGCATGAGACTATTATACCAAAGTGTACATATCATGCAGGGATTGTTAGGCACCACTACGTGATTAGCTGGAAATAAAGTCTGTAATAAGCAAAGTAGGCAGACAATAAACAAGACACAAACCAAAAGATGTTTCTTAGGCTGCCCCTGAATCCTTTACAGTTGACTACTTTGCCAAAATTCCACAAAAATGAGTCACAGAAGTGAGCTAGGACCAGCAGCACTTAGACAGCTACCCATGGATCAAGGTCCACCAATGTTGTATCTTTCTTTTATTCCTCTCCTCTTGGTTCTTAGATCCACAATATATCAGTGATGATGTTGGATAGAAAAGTACTGGATGGATTCCCAGACTCAGAGGAATCTCCAATTCCTCATTGTTTTGCCAAAATCACTCCAGGCAGGATAAGGGAAAAGAGAGAAAGAAGTCACTGAGGGACAGACAACACTTGCCTGCTTGCTGAGATCATTGGTGTTCCTTGTCACACTGGGGTGGTATATGCTGCTGCTAAGGCAGACATCGTCTCCGGGAACTTTCATGGATTTCTTAGAGGCTATTCATTTTTCTGCAGTTTTATCTGAGACTTTCATTTATCCCTAAAATAAGTCTCAGTATAATGATTATACTAAGATTTTATATATATATATATATATATATATATATATATATATATGCAAAGACAGTCTTCTTAATGTGACTTTAATGTACACCTTCAGTATATTTAATCTAATCAAGAAACCATCATTGTTTAATCTCTCTCTATCTTTCTCTCTCTCTCTCTCTCTCTCTCTCTCTCTCTCTCTCTCTCCCTCCCTCCCTCCCTCCCTCCCTCCCTCCTCTATCACATAAAGATTAAGACTTAAAAATCTTCTTTTCCTAACAAATGAATTAGAAGTCAAGGCAGAGAGGGAACACAGTAAACATTCATAATCACCTGTGGCCTTCTGATAATTTTATGCTTCTCTTCCCCACCTGTTACAGCCCATGGACTTGGCCTATATCTGCCAGCCTAAGTCCCTCAAACAGTCTGAGGTGAAGATAGGAGATCTGGAGCAATGCCAAAGAGCATGGAGAAGCTAAAGGAGAACAAATCTAAGACCTAAGTGAGCACATCACTCTGGTTCTTCACAAAGAGAAACCCAAACACCACTTCCCATCACTCAAGTGGACTCAGGTATATATTCACCATTGTTCTTCCTCTGGTGGTTTCTCCTCCCATATTTGAACTTTGGATGTTGGTGTTGGTCACTGCTTTGTCTTGGGCTGTGAGCTCTTCTTTCTATCTCTATTTCTAAGTCATCTTACTCTTTTCTTCTTGTTGGAAGTCCCCTCTGTATACTACCCATACTCAGCCTTTTATTTCCAGGCTGAATTACCTTAGAATTTCTGTGTCTTCAAAACAACCATCAACTAGATGTGCTCAGAGACATGCTTGTCCCTAAGTTAGCCATTTCCATAAGTGGCACCACAGCTGCACAAACAAAATGTACAACAAATTATCACCAGAACCTTCTTTTTCATGGGGTACATACCCATTACCACAGAGCCCTGCCATTTATGAATCAAAATTGGGCAAAAACCCTGTCTCTTTTCCCCATTTCATGTTTCATTGCCTCATCCACACCCTGACACTTTCTTTCATTGCTCTTTATGGTTTCTTTTTGTGTCCATCGGTTAATTCTCCACAAGCTGCCAGCATTCCCTGCTTCAGTTGATGCTGTCTGGTGACTTTTCATGGTACACAAGTCATACACAGAAGAAAGTCTTTGGATCCTTGTGAGCCAACAGATTGTAGACTACCATAGGGACATTTAAAGACACAAGCTGGACAGAAAGGAGATGTTGGCAGAGGCAGAATGCTTACAGTTGAGAGTATAGAGTGAGTAGCTGTGGAATGGGAAAGGGGGGCTTTCTATTATTATTGCAGATCATCCATGCTAAGGATGAAGGCATCTGGGAGCTGAGTAATTCTTTACTCAGGAAAGAATTAATTTTCTCACAGGTAAGCCTCTATATCTTTGGCTTTTGCCTTATGGTTTTCTATAAATTGTCAGAGTAGCACAGGCAAAGTATAAGTGTGGTGGAGGTGGGGCAGCTTCTTCCTCTCTTCACTTCGCCAAAACTAAACTGTAGCAAACCCAACATGTTTCTGTCTTTCTGTCTACTCTTTCAGAAGACAGAGAACAACAGGCATGAAAGTTAGTATCTTCAGAGCAGAGTGTGTCCACTTACAAATGTGGTTATTGAGACAATGATGGGAATAACTGGGACAAGGCAGGAGAGAGACGGAAGAATGGGGGGAAATGGCTGCTTTCAATGTCACAAGGAGAAGCCCCGGGGACAAACCTTACACTTACTAACACTGTATGTTTATATCTTAAATTTAAACAACATTTGAATATACTCCATTTCTCTTAACACCTTCAGAAGTTCAATGAATTGGGACTACAACCATCAGTCACTTGTTCAGTCTATTCCCTAGGACAGGAACTGTGTGAACTGCTTTGCATGTGGGATCAGTAATCAGCAGCTCATCTGTTTGGTAACTTTCATGCTCACAGTTAAACTCATGGAATTAACAACCTCCCCTCACTGAGTCATTGGCCTAAGGAAGAATAGCTTCCTTTTGCTTAGACTGTTTGATTGGCTTTCCCATTTTTTTGTTTTTGTTTTTGTTTTTGTTTTTTCGAGATATGGTTTCTCTGTGTAGCTTTGAGCCTTTCTTGGAACTCACTTGGTAGCCCAGGCTGGCCTCGAACTCACAGAGATCCGCCTGGCTCTGCCTCCCAAATGCTGGGATTAAAGGTATGCGCCACCGCCGCCTGGTGGCTTTCCCAATTTTTACTGGTTGGTGGGACAGTTATTTAAGCAGTGTTGTTACTTTAAGGGAGACTCTAAACTTCTCAGAGAGGCTGGGCTGTGGAAAGCATCAGGCTATTGTTATACTAGAGTAATATAAGAGATGGGGTCAGAAGTTAAACAGGAAGCTAGGGCAGGGCTGCCTCTCTGTGTTGTGTTCCTAGGGAGCTAGATAGGAAAGAGGTGGCCATCTGTGCACCTGCACACACCCAGATGTTGAGCATCCCTCTGAGCCCTTCCCTTCCCCAGCACAGGGCATTTCGCACTCACAGATTGTCCACAAGCCCTAAGCCAAATACTGACTCTCAGGCTGAGCTTTGTTGACTCACATTGTGATGGATGTTCTTGCAGATATGCACTCAGCCTTTTCTTTTCTAACACCCGGGGAATCTCTGTCCATGCAGATATCAACTACTAGTCACTTTCCTAAAAAATGACAGAGAGCAAACATTTGGGGGGTGTTTTGGGTTTGGAACTCCTCAGTCTTACTACATGGAGACAGTTATTCCTGAAGGAAAACTCAAAGCCTTGCCTGTAACTCAGTGAAGTCGAGTGGCAGTGACTGGTAACATCCATGTCCTCACCCCACACTTTGCAGGCAGGGGAGAATGTCTGAAGCCTATAGAGGGAGCACATAGACCGCCTTTTCACTTGAGGCTGAGGAATGCCCAAGGAGAAAATGTGAAGTGTTGAGTTTCGACTCTAGTTTAGGCACTTGCTAACTATTTTCCCTTTGGACAATGTATTCCATCTGATTGTACCTCAATGTTCCCACTCCAGTTCATGAAAGAAATAGTATCTACCTCATGAGTGGTCTCCAGGCTTAATGAGTCAATATGGAAGACATTTCATAAACAGTAACTAGTATTGCAAGGTCAGATGCATCAGCACATAGATATTGCATCATTGGAATTGATTATGTTTGTGGGATAAATGTGGAGTCACTGTTCCATTAAATGCTCAGAGCTGATTGCATGAAATTTTATTTTTAAATGACTTTGCCTGTGTCAATATTTTTTCTTCTTTAATATAGGCAGTAAGGAAATTATCTTTTGCTAACCAAGAAGGAGTTTGAGGCTAACAAACAACAGCTCTTCCTCAGAAGCTGTGGAAGAGAGAAAGAAAGAAGAGCATTCAAGATCCTTTCCTGTAGCACAGACAACCTGAGCTGAAGGCGTTGAGTGAAAGTCACCTTACACACACACACACACACACACACACACACACACACACACACACACACACACACACACTGTAATAGCTGAAGTGCTGGCCTTCACAGAATCTTGTAACAATGATGATAAGTAGGACAAAGGACAAGTTCCCCAGCCACCTTTCATCCCACCACTGAGTAGATCGGATGCAGGTGGTGTATTCTTCTACCTTTGAAGGAAAATGTCTTTTGATTTATAATAATTTGTTTCATGAATGAACTGAAAGAATAGGGGAGACCATATAGAAATCAGGAACATTCAAGATAGAGATTTTCTTTTGAAAAATCCAGAGTTTGGGGGGCCAGGGCTTTTTTAAAAAATATATTATCTCCAAGTCTTCTGTTTATTTGACCTCTTTTGGGAAAAATAAAGAGTGGCCCAAAGGAGTCTTAGTGTGTGTGTGTGGGGGGGGGGGGGGGTGCTGTTTTTGACAAAAATTCCTTGACTTGGTTACTTTAAGGATGGGAAGCACTGTTGTCATTCTTGTGGTACTAGACTATTTAGGAGCATTTAAAGAAGGCTTAGGGTGATGGTCTTGCTTTTCCAATTTATGTAATTTATGTATGTGAAAATCTAAACTTGTTTCTGTGCTCAAATAACTAAGCACACTGGGAATTCTTAGTAACGCTACTAGAACAGAAATAATCTGTTCTTCCCTTCCTTCCAGCAACACTGACATGCCCTTGGGTTTTGTTGTTATTGTTTGTTTCATTTTCCCTGTAGGAGATTTTAGGATCCATCTGCTGTGTATGCAAAGGAAGGCAGCACCTGGAAGAAGAGGATTATCCACTAGGGAAAGCTGCAGACCCACATGGAGAGCATTGTTCTGACAGCACAGTCTCCTCCTTTGCTTGGAGGGGGAATCCTGGGGCGACATGCTTCCGGGGCTATGGAGACTTCATTCTTTTCTACAGAGTTAATTTGAATGCAGAAGCTGCAGAGACACTAGTGCAAATATTGTTTCTGGGAAGCTGACTGCATGCATTACTGAAGCAGATAAACATGCATAGCACATAGTAGTAAAGCCCAGTCTTGCATATGGTGCACATAAGTATTCATTTGCAAATATCATGGCCTCAGGGGCAGAATCTGATCTTCTAAAAACACTTTTTCCTGACCACATTAAAATTAACTTGGACCTCTTATAGAGGGCAAGAAGGAATTTTTTTTTCTCTGTCTTCTCATTTTCTTTATTCACTATTTATTACTTTTTGGAGTTACGGAATAACTGATGTTTCTAGAATCCCTCAAATAGATAATTTCTGCTTTTAGCATCAAACTTTCATTTTAGATGGACTAAGTTTGACTTAGTGATATTTTCCTGCTACTTCAATTATCTTTTTAAAAATTACTACCCTTAGTTTTTGAGATTACAACACAATTACATCATTTGTTCCTTCCCTTTCCTCCCTCAAAGCCCTCCCATAGAACCTTCTTTGCTATCTTTCAAATTCATGCCCCCCTTTCTTACTAATTGTTGTTACATTCCTATATTTAAATACAATCTGCTCAGTCTGTATAATATTTCTTGTACATACGATTTCAGGGCTCACCTCTTGGTATTTGATAACCAGTTGGTGTGCTTTTCCTTGGGGAAGTCTATTTCTCTTGCTCCCAGCATTTCTTAGTTGCCTGCAGATCTTTGTGTAGGGCGTGTCTATTATTGTTGTTCATAACCTTATAAAATATACATGATTCTGAAGGAGCCCAGACAGAGTATATGGAGCTGGAAGATGATCCAAGCAGGAGAACCACAGAGGAACCAGATGTCCTTCTCTGTCTTTCCCCAAACAGGTCTATGGTATTCTGCTAGCCTCAGTTTTCCTGTCCCATAAGTAGAGGTCAGTTGTGTTTCGCATCACAGAGGGAGTAAGAAGGGCTGATGGAGAGGGAAGGTATAACAGGAAACAGGGAGTGAGTAGGCAGCAAGTTCAGTGCTAGAATAATTTGTTCCTCTTCACAAAGAAGCAAAAGAAAAATTCTTTTCGTAATAATGGCTTTCAGTTTATTGACGAACACTTATGAGTGTGAAGAGATGGAATATGTGGGCTGTAACCCCGGTAACCGAGTGGGCAGTGATGTAGAGATCCTGATACACTCATGGTGAGAGACTGCTACAAAGAACTCATCTGTACTCTTAAGCTTTTCCCACCTGTAACAGTAATGTGACTGTGAGCTGACCTGGGGGTCAAGGAAAAGAGCACAGGATGGTGGGTGAAGAATCCAGCCTGATTTATATCTGTCAGGAAAGGGGAAAAAGAATGGAGAAGAAAGAAAATATAAAGATCTGTGATGATTTTCATGAGATGCTCTTGAGCTGATGAAGACCACCTCTTCAGTTCTTCCTAGCTGCAGCCAGAACTTATATGAACTAGCTGCATCTCTCTAAGCTACTATCAGATGACTACTACCACTGTTAAAACTGGCCAATGGATATAAAGAGAGAAAATTCCATCTACTGAATGTGCCTGTGTAAAATGATTTCCAATTAATAAAAACATTTGTCAGATATTTTAGATTAACATTGGATATGAGGCCCGCTAGCAGATTTGTAGGATTTGTTTTGTTTTGTTTTTTTTTTTGGTTTTTCGAGACAGGGTTTCTCTGTGTAGCTTTGTGCCTTTCCTGGAACTCACTCTGTAGCCCAGGCTGGCCTTAAACTCAGAAAAATCCACCTTCCTCTGCCTCCTGCATGCTGGGATTAAAGGTGTGTGCCACCACCACCCGGGGATTTGTAAGATCTTGAATAAGGAGTTACCAAACTATAGACATAATATTAAACATATTACTTATGTGTTTTCATTAATCAATATATAGAAACTGCTGCATTAGAAATAAGTCAGCCAGCTTTTCAGGCCGTCCAGTCTCCTGGAGAGTTTAATGTAACTATGTTTGTGAATCACTTTGCAATTATCCAATTATTTTAATTTTCTAATGTGTTCATGCTTTAAGGCTCTTTTACATGAAAAGAGACTATTCAGAATTACCTCCCCAAATCAGTTTTGTTAATCCCAACAGAGACTGGTATTGGGAAATAACCAAGTTTCTCATCTGTCAGGAAGTTGCAGGCTCCATAACCTCTTGTTCATAGATTCGCTTTTGCTTTGGTAGAGCCCACAATGACAGCATCCTTCAGTATGAAGCACTGGAAAGAATCTGTTGACGTCCTCAGAGGGAATTATACATACAGTGTGAGAAGCCCCAAGTAAGCCTTAAGAAATAGAGCATCTGGAACTGCTGGTGCTTAACACTTATCTCACATCAAGAAAGCAGCAACCTAAATGTTACTTCTCATGAGCTTAAAAATCAGGGGTCTCATAAACTTCAGTGTATTTATCATAATGAAAAAGTGAATGCTTTATTCCTCCTAAAGTTTATTTTATTTGTATTTCACATAAGAAATACAAATCAGCCTGGAGAATCACTGGTTGATAAGCCTCTGTAAAGGAGACTCTGCTACTAAAATCTTAATGAAAGTGGAGGAGCACCTTTGCAGTCTCTCTGCAGTCTGTTTTCCAGCTACTGGTGACCACGTTATTTCATGGCATACTTTAAACTCTCCAAGACTCGACAATTGCATAAATGATACCATGTCTCAAAATTAACCAAGAAATTCAAATCCCACTTTTACCATAAAATTCCATGTCTCCGGGATGTAGAGAAGGCTCAGCAGTTAAGAGCACTTACTGCTCTTACAAAGGTCCTGGTTCAGTTTCCAGCACCCACATGGCAGCTTCCAACCATCAGTAACTCCAGTTCCGGAAGATCCAGCTCCCTCTTCTGGCCTTTGTGGGCTTCAGTCATACTTATAGTGTATAAACATACACACAGGCAAAACATCCAAACACATAAAAGTAAAAACAAATATTTAAACCAAAATCATGTATCTTTTCAATAATTGCAAGGAGCTAATAGATATAAGTAGATGAGTTAATATTTTTGCATCATTTTAGTATTTGTCCAATTAATCTTTGGGAGAAAATTTAAAGAGTCCCCTTAATATATTATGGTTCTATCTTTAAAGCATGAATGCACTAGAAAATTGAAATAAACAGGCAGCTGCTGAGTGATTCACAGAACAGAGTTCAAGTTAAACTCTAAGGGGCTGACCAACCTGAAGAGTTGCAGCATAGACACACGGCTAGTGAAGCAGGCTTCTGTATGGTGATCAATCCAGAGTCAGCAATCTGTTTAATCATAGCTGAACTTAGCTTTGACCTTGACCTTTGAGTGAGAATCAAGTCATCCTTTCCTAACTTCTCATTCAATGTGTGGCCCACCATCCTATATTTCATCACCTGTAGGTGTCCATAATTCCCTGTGTCTTGAGATTCATGAGAATCTCCTAAAGATGGTGTTAAAGAGGTAGACAGTTTCACTGAGTGACTAAAGATGTCCAGTTTTTTAGTGCTGCAGAGGTACATCTTAGAAAGGGAAATAGGTGCTTTGTGCTCCAAGTCAAATGCTCTACAAACAGTGTGGGTGAGTTTTTGTTCTTTTGTAGTTTTGCATGGCACTATTCCTCCATATTCATAGATGTGTCCCAATCATTTCCACTCATCAAACTTCAGATTATGAATCCTATCACAGGAACGAAGGCTGAGGATTTCTGTTTCAAGTAAGCAATAAGCTACATATGGGACAAATTTCCAACTGAAAACAAAATAATACATAAAACAAAAAATATTTTTGAGGTATAAATTATTTAATCAAACAGTAAGAGAACACCAAGCCAAAACCTAAATGGTAATGGGAATAGAGAAACAAACAGAACAGCTTTAGGGGCATTTACTGAGCTTGGCAAGCATGATTTACAGGATTAGGAGACAGCTACATCTCATGCTAAAAATAAACCAGCATTAGAACTCTAACAGCTCCCACAGCACCACACACACACACACACACACACACACACACACACACACACACACTCACTCACACACACACACTCCTTATAGATTTATAAGAGAGGCTATTATGGCCTTGAGTAAATGAAGACACAAAAACAATCTTCAAGAAGCTGTGGTCACCACAGCCTAATGCTGATACAAGATATCTTATTCTACACACTCAAAGAATTAACCGAAACAAGTAATTTGCAAGTGCACCAAGTAATCCACAACAATGAAAAAGCTTATTGCCACAACTTCAATAACCCAGCACAATACCTATGTTCTAAATATTTGTACTTATACTCACAGATAGGTGCAGCTCTCACCTGTCATCAAAGAAGATTCTCTCTGCAACAGATGGATACCAATATAGAAATCCACAAAGATCAAAATGTAGAGTTGTGGAGCCCTGTCCCAACTGACACACGCACAACACAACTCCTATACTTTAGGCTCAGAGACACTGAGGAAGATGGGGTAAAAAAGATTGTAAGAGACAGAGGAATCGGGAGTTTGCTGTGAGAAATGTCAGAAGCTACACTCATGAAGTCTCACCAATATATTTGCCTAAATAAGGACAATACTAAGGCCATCCTAATGTGGAAGGGAGAAAGCTCATGAGGCGTCAACTCTAGACAAAGAACTACAGGCAATTAAGGAATACTGAGACCAATAGAAATAGTCTTCCCCAGGGAAGAGCACACCAATTAGTTATCCAATGCCAAATGGTCAGCCCTGAAAATCTACACATACAAGTAATACTATACATAGTAAGCAGTCTATATTTGTGCATTTAGCAATGTGCAATACATATATATAAAACAACAATTAGAGAAAAAGACCATGAATGTAAATGAGAGCAGCAGAGCGAGCAGTACATGGGAGAATTTAGAGGTAGGAACCAGGAGGAGAAAATGGTATAATTATGTTATAATCTCAAAAAGTGTCTTAAAACACTGCTTGTTACTGTGTCATTGCATAATTACTTTATTTTACTACACTTGCCTTGCTGTTGCTATAGATTCTGTTTGCAAGTTGGACAATTGCTTCCTGATTGCTGTCTATAACTCTTCTTGAGCTCAGGGAACATTTCAGAAGAGGGAGCATGTGCGATTGTTAAGAGCCAGTTGTGAAGGAAGGAATGTGCATATTCAGGTTAACTTGACTGCAGACGTCTTGATTCCAAACTGCCATCAGTGCTCCAGAATAATAGTAGTCAGATTTTCCCATATCTTCTCCTGAAATTCACAAATAGACAAATTTATCAGAGATACCTGGAGCTTTACAATGAGACTCTTGCTCCAAAAAATGTACTTTACTCTGATATTCAGAGAAGTTAACTAAATCCCAGTGGGATGAATTTGTCTTAACCAATATATGCCTTTTCTGACCCAAATTGTGGGCAATCAGTTGCCTCCCAGGCACACACGCAATAAATTATATTCTGTACAACTCTAGAAAAAAAAAGAAAGAATGCAAAAGCAAGGCACCATGAAAAACAGCCAATGGAGAACCAAAATTATAAAAAGAAATCTAAAAATATTTAAATATTGAGAATATTTGAACAAGAACAAACAATGTTTTTTATTTTAAAATACTGTTTACTTTCCTTAAGTTTATCAGAAACATAATCAATTTGTAACAACAGAAAGCCATAAAAATATAATTAACAAATTTAAAAAGTAGTATAAAAGAAACAAAAAATAGAGGTGAGTATAAAATTTCATTAGCATTAAGAAATTAGGTACAATTGAAGAAGGTTTTATGAAGTTAGGTCATAAAATTAACCAGAATGCTTGCACGGAGAAAAGGTGAGGAAACGTGGAAGAGAATAAAGAGGAAATTGGGGAAAAAAAGAACTAATGTAGTTTTAATCTAAATTACACAAGAGGATAGAGTCAGAAGAGTGTGGAAGACAGGCAAAATTAAAGAGACTGTAGCTGATAATCACCAGAACTCAGAGAAAATGAACACAGTAAATGAAATGACACTTAGATGATGCTACATGGGAACTGGGGGAAATGCAGCTCTCTGAAAGCAGCTGCAGAACAAAGGTAAAAATGTGATGAAAAGTTTGACACAGAAAAAAAGTTGAGGTTTTTAAGTACAACAAGCAGAATTTTATATATAAAAAAGCATAATCATTTCCACATGAAGAAATAGAATAATTACCAACCAAGAATCACATATAATAAAAATATTTTTAAGAATGAGAATGGAGCAGATGTTTCAATTACAAAAGAGAGTTATTGATAAATGTCTAAAACAATAATGAGACAGAGATGGTGGATGACAATAAGGAAACAGTGTTTTCTGGAACCAATTATAATTTTGGTTCTCCATTGGCTGTTTTTCTGTGCCACAACACAATTTTTTCTGGCAGTTGCACACATAAATGTACAGCTATTGCAACAGCCTACCAAAACTTGAATAAGCATAAGCAACACAAAAATTCTAGCATGGAGTGGAAAAAATAGAAATAAAATCCCATTCCTCACTGAGGATACGTGATAGCTCCTGGGAAAGGAAGAGTCTATTTTCTTTAATGGTATATTGACCATATTCC